TTTTAAATTAAATTTTAAATTTCTAAATATAAGAATCAATATTTAATAAGTTAAAATTTTAAATTTTAAATTAGATTTTAATAAAATTAAATGATGTCATTAAGATTAAGACTATTTTTTTAAGTCAAAACTAATACTTGTTATATTCATTAATCTATCATGTTACAATCAGAACGAAGCTTTTCACTTTGTCATCTTCCGCTGCTTCTTTTACTTTCCCTACATAGTTGTACAGAAAAACCAATATGAATTAAACTTTTTTCTCCTACTTCATCAGTCCTCTCCTTCTTCCCTCTCTCTAGGAACAGCTCCAAAGTGTTTGATCAAAATGTCAGCAACTAAGGGTGCTAGGTTCTTACAAGGGACACCCTTCTTATAGACTTCTCCCAAATGTGAGTCACTTCCAATTCTCCCTCCCAAGAACACATCTACCCCTTCAACGGGCATCTTGTTCTCATCTCTAGCCATGCACCCCATGAATCCAATGTCAGCCACCTGAACCTGTCCACAGGTATTAGGGCAGCCTGTCCAATGCATCCTCACTGGCCGTGTCACTGACACTAGCCTCTCCACCTCCTCAGTCACCTTCAAAGCCCTGGCCTTTGTCTCAATAATAGCTTGCCCACAGAACTGGTTCCCAGTGCAAGCCACCAATCCTTGCATGAGAAGAGATGGCGCTGGTGAAAACCTGTCTTTAAGTAAAGGCTCATTGAGCAAGGCTTCTAGTCTTGAGTTCTCAACGTTTGGGATTATGATGTTTTGCTCCACAGTAAGCCTAAGTTCACCTGAACCGTACATGTCAGCCAGCCGAGCTAGCTCATCCATGTCATCTGCTTGGACTCTACCAACTGGAATGTGAAGACCAACAAAGCTAAAACCCTCTTGTTTCTGCGGGTGGACACCAAGAGAGTCCCTCCTTTCCCATTGCTTTTGAACTAGTTCCTCAGATGAGGCTCTCTCCAACTCTTGTTGGGGCATTCTCTTCACTACTTCTGCCCTGAATCCTTCTATTCCCTGCATTTTTCATCTTTAATGAGAAGAAAAAGAAAAAATACAGCTGATTACAAGGTTAATGAGAGAAGTGACACTCACTAGTTCATCAATCAACCACATCATTCTTGTTTTTTGTCTGTTTCCTCTGTTGCCAAGATCTCTAAAGGCTTCTAGAACAGCTTTGCACACAGTGACTACATCATCTGCGGGTACCCAGGCATCAAGAGGGATGGCCTCTGCACACCTCTTGGGGCTGAAGAACCCACCTACAAGCAGATTGAATCCGAAACGCCCATCCTTTGTGGCAGGCATGTATGCAAGATCATTGATGTGGGGGTGCTCATAAAGATCATGAGATCCCACTACACACACATTCCACTTTCTTGGTCTGTTCAAGAAATCACAAGGTCCAAATTTTCAGTGGCACATTTTGAAACAACAGAAAACTCCCAGCCTCATACCTTATCTCTAACAATAAAACTAATACTCAATTCAGTTTCAGTAATAGAAAGAGTTGCTGCCACACACAAAATTTAGTGCCTAAGTTTATGTGACAAGAAAACCATAGGCTTAACGCTATTACCATATGGACTATCTGGTCAGTGAAAAGGTCCAAATACCAACCATGTACCAAAGCTTCCCAATGAAATTTGCAGTATAAATACACTACAAGAAGATTAGATATAGGGTACTAGAGGAACTTACAAGTTAGTAATGGTAGGATTGCCCTGTGAATTCGCAGTGATAAACTGAGATAACAAGTTGTTGTAAGGTCGGGTATCAACAATCTCATGTGGGTCAATGCCAGCAAGAGGGTTGCCAACCGGGTTTCTCACATTGTCCATGCCACTCTGCAGGCTAGTCAATCCCACTTCTTCAAGACCCTTGAGTATTTCCGGTACATCAGGCAACACCACTCCACGAATTTGCCAGTTTTGCCTGGTTGTCACATCTGCACACCCATCCTTCCCATATTTCCTTATCACACTTGCTAGGTAGCGTGTCTGTGCACTTGTTGTTACCCCATTTGGTAGCTTCAGCCTCATCATAAATCGACCATCTGTTCAATAGAGAAAAGATTAAATCCAATTCTAATCAAAAGAGAATTGGAACCAATTCAAACACCTCACATTAAATGTGATGACCCAAATCTCATGTCCGGACAAAAAATTGAATGGGACACCAATGGGCCTTTTGTTCAGTTGTTAGACCAATAACAGATTTTGACCAAGTAGTAGGATTGAATTCGACAGCAAGAACAAAGCCAAAACAAACCCAACCCCAAAACAGAACATTTGGGATCTTCAAAAAAAAGTGAAAAACAAGAATCTAATAAAGCAAATGAGACTAAATTTGGGTAGGATCTTCAAAACAGGTGAGAAACAAGAAGAATCCAATAAAAAAAAAACTAAATTCTGGTAGAATCTTCGAAAAAAGGGGAAAAACAGCAATCAAATAAAGCAAATAAAACTAAATTCGGGTAGTAAAAACTTACATTGATGCTTTCTTCTGTGAAATAGCCCCAGCCACTTGAGTCTAACATCAATGTCATCCTTTGTCACCTTAGCCTTCTCAATTTCCTCAAGTGACATCTTAGCAAGAACCTCAATCCCTCCTTCCATGAAAAGCTTCATAGGATCTTTCTCAATCTTCACCTTCTCTTGAGGATTAATTCCTTCCCTAAACTTCTCCTTCAACACGAAATACCCATCTCTCTCCTCCACCCTTGGCTCCAACCTCGCCGCTTCCAAGTCTGCAGCTGCCACCTGAGCCACCTGGGGTGTGGCAAAAACACATGTTTTGGACCTGTAAGAGGAGGTGGAAGGCAATACTTGTGGTGTAAGAAAACGAACAGAAAATGAAGACATTGTGATGCTCGAATGATGCAGGAAACGATGGAGATAAGATACAGATGTTGAATTGTGGCGGTTGGAGCGTAAAGAGAAATGGAGAAAGGAAGGAGCTTGGACATTTTTGTAATGGAGGGAAGGACCTTAGGAGGAGAGGAGAAGGTTATTTGGAAGAGGCTTTTGGGTGGTGTCAAGGGGCAGGGGAGATGATGAAGACAACAGGGCTAATAGTTGCCTTGTCTTTTTATTTCATTAATATTTAATAAAGAATGACTGCCTAATAAATTTACGCAACTTGAGTTAAGACCGCCACAAGCGGCGGTTTGATTCCCTGACAGTGAAGAATACTCCAACAGAATACCACAACAAACTCACCTTCACGAGTTACCTTATACTCACAATATCAAGTATTCTTTTGCAATTTTTTTTTTTTTTAATCCCTTCATATGCTCATATGTTGATGTGAGATGATTATTTTATAATTTAAATTGTATAAAATTATAAAATAAAAATTATATATGATAAAGAGATGACACTTAATGTTAAACAATTTATTTTTTATCTAATAATTTAAATTATATAATTTAATATAATTTGAACATTATAACAATAATTTTTTTTTAATGAGGGTGAAATAAGGTTAGTAGAAAAGAACACTAGTAAATGGGTGGGTTGAAGTTGGAAAATAGCTGGTGACGAGTCTAATGAGTTCAGCTAACAGCTGTAAGATCAAGAGAAAGTAACTCATGATCCATGAGTTGAGTTTTCTCCAAGTTTTCTCTGTTAACCAGTACATTGTCCTTAATGGTTATGATTTGTATGTATATGTTTGAATTTACTCTATATAATAATAATAATAATAATAATAATAAAAAGCCAACAAGATATGATAGCTACCAATGATAACCTAGTATTAAGGTAAAGGTTTTAAACTTGGAAGTTTTTTATTTTAGTTTGTATATATAATATATAATATAAGAAAAAGTATATCAGTTTTGAGTAGTAAAGAAATTAAAGTTTTGATTTTAAATGATCTC